TGAAGCAACGTTCTAGCTACATGAGTCTAGAGGGCAGGGGCCAGGCGTTCTCGTGGCTTTTGTGGAGGTAAACATAAACTTGTCCGTTCCGAAAATATTTCTTTAGTATATATGTGTTTGGGTAATGCACTAACTTTAACATCTATTTATGCAGAATGTGAAGAAGAGTTGTAGGAAGCTAGCTCAGAAGCTGAGCTGCATGGACACTCCTTATGAACCGCCACTCCTGGCGCGGTCGGGTGGCACGTCATCAACCTCTTTGAGGACACCAACCGGCTCTTATCAGCCGATGACAGGTGCCACTTCCGTGAAGCGTACACCACCATATCATAGCGCTGGGAAGAATCCTGGAACCGAGGACGACGATGACGACGACGATGACCCCCCAGGTTTCGGCGGACAGCACGACTAGTGGGACGATTGGCCGCAGAACGAGATCGGCATATCTCAGCTTGGTGGTGCCCCGCTTGGCACCCAAGGAGCCTCACAGGTACTAACCAAGATAGTTTGTTTCAATACGTAGGCTCCATGAACTAACGATCATAAAAAATTATAAGTAATCGTACGTATCATATACTTGTAGGGTATGAGCCGTACGCACTGTTGACGCGACCATACCAACGTTGGCTACACTCTCAATGTGTTGCCAACAAATCCGAAGAGACAGAGACGTTCGAGGGATCTTTACACTCCTGGTTCTTAGTTTGTTAGGTCAAACGAATATTGTCATCCGAAACTTGCAGGGTTATTTGGTTAAGTTATGTCAAACTTATGTCAAAACAATGAATATGTTACGGGACAGCTTGTCAACTTGCTTCTTATTCGTTTCTTTGCGTCGCGGCAGCACTGCCGGCGAGATTAAGTACCAACTAGTCTCGGTGTATCTCGACGCCGATGGCAATTTTTCATACTCGATTAGTTAAAATGGTGCATAACCGTATTATGATTGACGAATCATTGGCTTATCAAATTTTTTATTCGGCCGTGAAAATAATTCAACAAAAGACGGGCGCGAAGCGTTTCGATTAAACTGTCCAGGTACCCTCGGACGGGCGGCGGGCGCGACGACCAGGTGGCGCGCTGCTCGGCCAGGCGGGGCTCATGTGCGGTATTTATTTGGCCCCGCCGCGCCACGGATCAGGGCGCGACACTGCCGCGCCAAGGTTGGTGGCGCGGCAGGCCCTGTCACGTCAGCGGTCACAGCTTCAGGTCGTCACCACGTTAGTCCTCTGCCGCGCCATCATATATGGCGCGGTACAAGTATTTGGCCATGCCAGGACAATAGGCGCAGTCAAAAGTGTTAGTTTAAAAAAAATCGAGAGTGTTAAATTTAAAATTAGTTTTAAAAAAGTGTTAAAATTAAAAAAAAATCTCAGTGCACGGCTGGCATCGCCAGCTGCAGCGGAGAGGCTTGGTCAGGCATGTCATGTGGCGTGTGATGGGTTGGGATGGCAAGTATTCCTATGTCCCTTCGTGTTTATCAATTTACGTGTTAATAATTTTGACTCGATTTAAAGAAAATACGTGTAACATTTTTATCTCTAAATAAATTTATTAAAAATTAGATTCAAATATCTATCTAATGTTACTAATTATGTATCATAAATATTAATATTTTTTAATATATATTTAATTAAAGTTGCACTGTGGTTGCAGTTGCAGCTGCAGGAGGAGGAGGAGGAGGCAAAGCACCTAGGATTACCCAGCTCTGTGTTATTGAGCTTTTACGACAGCACATCAGAGGCCTTGTTTAGATTGAAGATTTTTTCAACCCGATGAATAGTAGCACTTTCGTCTTATTTGGTAAATATTGTCTAATCGTGGACCAACTAGGCTCAAAAGATTCATCTCGTGATTTTCAACTAAACTGTGTAATTAGTTTTTTTTTTACCTATATTTAATACTCCATGCAAGCGTCCAAAAATTGATGTGATGGAGAGAGAGTGAAAAAACTTGGAATTTTGATGTAAACTAAACAAGGCCAGAGTATCAGATGGAGATGTGGTCCATCCATACGACCATACCCTTGCTCAATCCTTTGCTTCCGATCCCGTTTTCCTTTTTTCTCTTTTCCTTTTTCCCCATGTCTTTGGCTGCGTTTAGTGTAGGAATTTAGATTTTAGAGCTACTGTAGCATATTTGTTTTTATTTGGTAAATAGTGTTCAAACATGGATTAATTAGGCTCAAAACGTTCGTCTCGCAATTTCCCACCAAACTGTGCAATTAGTTTTTCTTTTCATCTACATTTAATGCTTCATGCACGGACCGCAAACATTCGATGTGACAGGTACTGTAGCAAATTTTTAGAAGTTAGGGTGGAACTAAACAAGGGCTTTATTTGAGTGTAGTGCATTATTGCTTGTTCAAATGCAGTGAGAAATGCTCTAAACTCAGTGATATCAACAAACGCGGTTGCAGATCAGTGAAAAGTAGCAAAGCTGCATGTTATTTTCGTCGCTGTGAAAAGTAAGAAATGCTCTCGACTGAGTAATATTACCAGCACAAAAGGATTTCAGCCCCAGTTGCCACTTTTTCACTCCCTCAGCCATTCAGCGTGTAACAGTGTCGCGCTTTGGCTGGTTTCTTTCACCGGAATTGGACCGCAAAAAGAAAAAGAAAAAAAAAAGGGTGAAGTGAAATCCCAATCTCGCTGTTTCTTCACAGCAGCAGCGAGGGCAGACAATGCAATTAATCGCGATGAACCATCATGTCCACCAGCCATTTCTGATCTCCCATCCAGTCCTCCTACCAGTGGCCAGTGGGAGCTGCTGCCGTATGCACATGGCCGCTGCCCGCTGCGCCGGCAGGCAGGCAGCACAGCGACGCACTGCAGCAGCTTTGCACCGCTCGAGCAAGCTAGCTAGGGTCCAGTTTAGTTACCTCTCATTTTACAAAAATTTTTAAGATTATTTGTCACATCAAATCTTTGTACGCATACATGAAGTATTAAATATAAATAAAAAATAAAATTAATTACACAGTTTAGACGAAATCCACGAGACGAATCTTTTAAGCCTAATTAGACTATGATTGAACACTAATTATCAAATAACAACAAAAATGCTACAATGCTATAGTGTAATTTTGCCAAAAAATTCGACATCTAAACAGCTCCTAGGAGTCAGCCTACAGCCAGCGGCAGCGCGGAGGTGGAGGCGACAAGCCACAGTGGCCGCCTGCGTGCCTGCCGGCTCCCTCCCCCTGCCTGCTGCCTGCAGCTACATGCAATAGCCCACGCGTCGGCTTGCCTGCCACTGTCACCGCCCCGTCCTGCTCCTGCCTGCCTGCTGCTGCTGCCCGCTGAGCCGATCGGTCACAACAAGTCACATCGTTGGTTCCAGGTCCATTTTCCTTTTCGAGATAGCTGCTGTTCGTGACCGGGGCCTTGTTTGTTTAGCCCTTGCTTAGGCGGGCGTTTAGATCCAAAATTTTTTAGATTTTGGCTCACTGTAGTATTTCGTTTGTATTTAGTAATTAGTGTCTAATTATGAACTAATTAGATTTAAAAGTTTCATCTCGCGATTTCTCACTCAACTGTGCAATTAGTTTTTTTTTCATCTATATTTAGTACTCCATGCATGTGCCGCAAGATTCGATGTGACGGGTACTGTGCAAAAATTTTTAGAATCTAAACGCCCTAGTTTCACCCTAATTTTCAAAAAGTTGTTACAGTACTTGTCACATCGAATGTTTGCGGCTCGTACATGGAGCATTAAATGTAGACAAAAAGAAAAACTAATTGCACAGTTTGGTGAGAAATTGCGAGACGAACGTTTTGAGCCTAATTAGTCCATATTTGAACACTATTTGCCAAATAAAAACGAAGATGTTACAGTAGCCCCAAAATCCAAATTTCGCGAACTAAACAAGGGCTGGATACTGTAGCACGTTTCGTTTATATTTAACAAACTTTGTCTGATCATAGATTAACTAGGTTTAAAAGATTCGTCTCGTGATTTACAACCAAACTGTGTAATTAGTTATTTTTTTACCTATATTTAATGCTCCATATATACGTCCAAAAATTGATGTGATGGAGAGAGAGTGAAAAAACTTGGAATTTTGAGACAATCTAAACAAAGCCTTAGATTGCAAGTTTTTTCACTCTCTCTATCACATCAAAATTTTGACATATGGATAGAGTATTAAATGTAGATAAAAAATAACTAATTACACAGTTTGATTGTAAATTACGAGACGAATCTTTTGAGCTTAGTTAGGCCATGATTGGACAATAATTGTCAAATACAAACGAAAGTGCTACAGTGCCAAATACTGATTCCTAATCTAATCTAAACAAGACCCTACTCTTTCAAAAATTTGATACGATGATGAGAGAGTGAAAAAATTTGTAATCTAAACCAGGCCTGGGTGAGATGAGAGGGAGACGTAAGTGGCAAAGGTGCTCTCGAAGGCCTTGAGGCCCAAATAGCTAGTGGGCTGTGCTGATCGTTAGCCTCTATTAGGCCAACAGCCAGCCGCCCCACTTTTGGTTCTTTTCGGCCCACATAGGCCCACCCACCTCTTCCCTTCCACCTGCCGCAACCCTCGCGGTTGGCAGAGGCCGAGGCCGAGATTGTTCGACTCTGACCCCCTCCTCCTCTCCCTCCCCTTTGCCTCGCCATGACGGGAGCCCCCGCCCCACCAGCTGCTCCCGGCGCCGAAGCAACCGCGGCGGCGTCCCCGGCGGGCGAGCGCGATGAGCAGGCAAGCACGTCAGTACGCGTGCGGGTCTCTGCCATTCCATTCCCTTTCCTCTGCTCTTCATTCTCATTCGGTCCCGTCCCCGCGCCGCGCCAACGTGGCGTAGGGGTGGTGGTCTGATTGGGGCGTCATGCGTGCGTCTGGTTATTGGTTCAGCAGCTCGCGGGCGACGACGGGTTCGCCGGCCATGCCTGGAGGACGTCCAGAGGAGCCCAGCCGCGCTGGGGGAGACGGTGGCGGAGGACCTGCGCGGACCGCGGAGGGCGACGAGCGCGCGCGGCTGGTCGTGACGACGATGCCGCCGCCGTTGGGCGCTACGGTGGCGGGGGTGGGCGCGCCCGGCGTGCCTGTGGCCGTGCCTATGCAGGCGCCTGAGACGAGGCCGTGGGCGCGGTCGACGTCGATGTCGTCCGTCCCGTGGCCGAGGCTCGTGGTCGGATTGCTGCTCCTCGTTCTGCTCGGCTACGCGTTCTTCAAGTGGGGCCTCCCGTTTCTCTCCGAGAAGGTGATGATGCTTCTCATCTGATCTTCTATTAAGACCGTGTTATTAGGGCAGGTATTGGTATCAATTCCTCCGGATTGGCCGAGAACTTTGGTCTTCTCTATCGATCAGTCCGAAGGAATTGTGCGTGCCTAATCTCACAATCCAGCAGACAAGCTTCACATATGATTTTATCAATCAGATGATTGGTTATCACATCACAATAGTCATGTTGTTACTCTACTTAAGTTTTTTCTTAAGAATCCCCAAATTTGTGCAGCGGATGTCATTTAAGCTTTCCACCGCATTTGTCATGGTAACGCTTTGTGTTCCATTTTATGTACGCCTGATATTGCAGGTGATCATGCCAATTATTCAATGGGAAGCAAAATCTTTTGGCCGCCCCGTGTTAGCGGTCGTGATAATTGCTTCTCTAGCGCTCTTCCCGGTGGTGTTGCTGCCTTCAGGCCCACCAATGTGGTTAACAGGAATAGTTTTCGGCTACGGTTTTGGCTTCTTGATCATCATGGCTGGGGTCACCATCGGCATGTCTTTACCTTATTGGATCGGCCTACTGTTTCGTGACCACCTAAATGTAATGTTTCTAAGCTCCATTTCATCATGAGCTACGATTCGGTATATTTTCTCAGTGGTTGGTTTTGATGTCCTGGGTCGTAGTTTTGCTACCCTTCTGCTCTCATCTGTTTGCTGACATGCAGCTCTGGTTGGAAAAGAAATGGCCACGGCAGATTGCTTTGATTAAACTGGCAGGTCAAGGGAGTTGGTTCCAGCAATTCCGAGTGGCTGCATTGCTAAGAATCTCACCATTCCCATATGCATTGTTCAACTATGCTGTAACTGTGACGGAGATGAAGTTCATCCCTTACATATGTGGTTCGGTTGTTGGAATGGTGCCTGATGTGTTCATCAACATCTACAGGTTAGATTCAGACCAACAATTCATAGCTACCTTAGCAGTTACTTGAATAATTTTATTGTTATCAGGATACTAGTCCAGTTCAGTAGTTGGGCATAGACTGCACACTGCAGTTCAATCAGAAGCAACAGAATCAAAATTGTTTCATACTTAGCAGCTGCTCTCGTAAGTAATCCAAAAGTCGAAATTTATCGTATCGTCATATGTTTCGTTGCTTTTGTGCAGTGGGCGGCTGATACGTACATTGGCAGAGCTGAATTATCGGAAGCACCGAATGACAACGGTTGAGATAGTGTACAACGTTGTATCTGTAATTGTTGCTGTCGTCTTTGCGATTGGATTTACAGTATATGCGAGACGGGCCCTGGATGACATGGAACGTTCCGAAGTCAACTGCGCTGAACCTGCCAGTGTCCCTGCCGGATCGCCTGAGTTCAGAGATCACCTCCAGGGATGTTCAACTGCACGTTCTGTACCAATCGATGTTGTATAATAACAAATACAGTACACGTCTAAGGACTGATTGCTTTAAAGTTCCTTTCATGTACATAATATTCATGTACATACAACACGCTAGATTGGTAGAAGAAAAACCTTAACAATGTGTGTAACTGCTACGTACAAGTACATACTCTTGTAAATCTGTGATGTCCTGATGCTGTTAAGCAGTTGCTGTTCAGGCACGTTTGTTGTGTGATTGTTGCTTCTCAGAGGTCAGAGTTCAGACATGCATACTGAGTAATGGCCTTAGATGATTCTGTCTATCAGTATCAGGCAGGCATGTTTGTGTGACAACCGGGCTCCCAACTGAATTATTGATGCTACACGTAACTATCAACAATGTCAGAACATGTAGGTCGATGCACTGAGTTTTATCATCACAGTTACTAAATGATGCCGACGTCGTCAAAGGAGTTAAAACTTAAAAAACAAATGTCCAGCACGCCCTCTTCTTCGTTTTCATTCAAGACCGGATCGCAGCGTGTCGGCATTGTTAAAACGTTTGCAAAGTACTTCGAGGGTACAGTACAATCTTGCAACATAGCTAGCCATGTCCATGGCGTACTAACAGAAGCCATACATGATTACTACATGGGCATGGCTTGGGGGGAAGTGGTTGATACGTACTACCTGCATATTCCTTATATAAAAAGAAAAACAATAATAACGCCTCTCGGATGGAAGCAGGAAAAATGCAAAATGCTAAACAGCATACAAGATTTCTCCATCGTAATTATATTTCAGAATCCTAGCATGTTCAAAATGTGCTACAACATCGTGTAAATAAAAATTTTCATCAACATTTGACGTGGCACTCAAAATAGCTCTTTCCGAACTCAACACCAGACCCCTGCCTATTTCCGTGCCCGCAGATTGTACCTCCGGATCCTGACTTTGTGACCAAGTTTTTTTCTCGATCACGCAAAAGATTTGCACGTTTTTGTATTAAGTGAGGGGAATTTTGATTACAAAGGGTCGGGCCTTATAGATTTTCAATAAGCATATGCCCGCTCAAACTCACACTTACTACTCTATTACTCGCTGAAGAAGACAACCTACCTCGCGCCGGCTTGCACCCACGACTCCGCCTCTTGTTTGATGTGCTTGAGTAATTCGGAAATTTGAGTGCTCGCTCCGCGGAAGCACCGTGCATTCCTTTCTTTCCATAGCTCCCAAGCAACTAATGCAAAGATTGAATCCGCGCCGTTGCGAAGCTGCCCTGTCCATTGCTCTCTCCAGGTGGTCCACCAATCCAGAATTGAGTTGGCCGGCTGGAGGTGATGTGTTTCCCTCAGCGCCGATCGGATGTACCACCAGACCAAGTTATCACCGATCTCCTCCGCCAAGACGATTTCGTTGCACCTTCGAGCTGGAGGCGACCGCTCCGGCGGCAGGACATACATTGGGTCCATCTTGCTGTCCACCTCGTCTGTCAGCTCGTCGAAGACCCACGAGTAGTCCTTCAGGCTCTCCTCCGACTCCGAGGCGTCTTCCTCCGGCGCCCTCCTGCCGGCATTTTCCTCCAGCGCCCGGACTTTCTCGACCAGCGTCTGGAGCAGCCCGTGGTTCAGCACTTCGTAGTCCCTAAACAAAGGATGAACACAAGTTAAAATTGTAGCGAAGGCCAACCAATGAGCTTGTAGAGGTGGTATTGTGTAATAATATAGTGTAGCGGAGGGCGGAGGCCTTTGTTCATCACGTACGTACCTGTAAGTGAATATGGAGTGCAGGATTTGAACAGTGGCAGCGCCTAGGAAAACCGTTCTCACCAAGAACACCTTGGACATGACCTAGAATTGCTTGTCGAAGTCATCGGCACCAAGCTTGATCAGCCCTATCTCCAACAGAAGCGTAATGCACAGACCCGCCGGAGCAAAATGTTAGTGACATGGGCATTATTCCAATTCCATTTGCGTTAAGTGGGCAATCCAACGAGTTCTCGATTCAGTAATGAAATCATACCAAAGTAGAGCTGGCCCCTGATGCTGAACGTTTGCTTTGCACTTGTGAGCATGTAGATGAGGAACACAATGCAGCAATAGAAGAAGAAGGCCTTGATGAAGCGAGACTCAGCTATAATGGCATTGTGCAGAATGTACAGCTTGTCCAAAGCAGCAAAAATATTAGCCTGCTTTGCTCTAAACTTTCCTGTGTATATGAAAAAAATCAATAAATAGAAGCAAACATGTAAAGCTCGTTATATTTTCAAAATGAGATATATTAAGAACCTGTGCTTCCAGTATGGAGTGAGAATTTTGGATGAGATGCTCATGAGTTTGCCGGATTTGTTCTTGCCGGGACAGTAGCTCTTCCTGCTGACGCTGGCCAAACTGTGCAAGTTTCTGAATTGTTTCCCTGCCATTGTTCACTTAATCAATATCTTTTTTTCTATTAGATGTATAGAAATCCTTTGAAGAGATTAAAAAAATACAAACCGAACAGTATATATTATGGATATAATACCTGCTTTCTTCAAGAGCTTGCGCTTGAAAGCTGTGGAGCTTATTCAGTCCATCGATTGCCTGGGTCTGTCCATATAGTAGCTGCATCTGATTCTCCAATGACTTGCCAGCAACACTCCCAATGTCATCAGCGGTGCTCTGCAAGTCCTGCATCTTCGAAGACATTGACTCACCAAGACTTTTAATTTCCTTTTGCATATATCCAGTCTCTTCTTTTATCTTATCCATCCCATTTCCTAGCCTTTCATATGATTCCTCAACGCGCGTCATACCGGCCTCAATCTTCTCCCTTATCTCTGTTTGTCCTTTACTCAGTTCTGCCTGAGTGGTAGCGATCTCCTTGGACTTCTCAAAGATGGACTTGGAGTGAACCAGCACAACGTTGATCTGCTCCGCGACGTGCTTTGATGTCTCTGCCAGGTTGTCGGCTTGCATGTCGATCGATGACAGTGTGTCCTGAACTTTACTACATTCTTTGATGATCTGTTCTGACCTCTCCTCGATCACCTCGAGCTTCTCCTTAGCAGACTTGGATGTCCTTGTGAGCTCATTGACGAGTTTCTCAGTGTTGTGCTTGAAAGCTTCAGCCCTCAACAATTAAATCCATACAAACGAAGTTTAGTACAGAAAACATACCATCTGCAAATAAATGTCAGAAGAGGAAACTAAACTTACTGCAATTGGTGGCATAGGGTGTTGGTCTCCAAGAAGAACTCGAGGAAGACCTTGCCTTCAGATTCTTTGAGTCGCTTGCGACAGTGCACCATCTTGGAGCCCTCAGCGCAGGACGGGAAGGGCAGCCGCCCTGAGTCGTCCTGGAAGCAGCTGCTAAGGTGCCACGCCCACGCCAGGCGCAATTGCCTCTTCTTGTCGGCCATGATGTCGCCGCAGCTGGCGAACAACTTCCGGTATGCCTCCTGCCAGCAGTTCCTCGGCCCGGCGAGCTTATTCCGCGCGTTCTCCAGCAACTTGAGTCCTCTAGGGTCATTGGCTCCGTCCATGGCAAAGTCGGCCACCACGCCGTCCAGCTCCATCATCGGAGCGCGTTCACCACCCGTGGGCGCAGTCGAGGAGGAGAAGATGTTCCATGAGAATCCACGGATCCTCATAGGGCAAACCAAGAAGCAGATCAAAATCACCAGCACGGACCACACGTTTCTTGACATGATTCTACTGGTAACTGATCTTGGCGCCGGCAATAAGTTATATTTATATCTTAGCAGCTCAAAATCAGGGGGTCACTCGTCGCAGTCCCTGCCAGGAACAGAGAATGAAAAACTGTTCATTCGATACAGATTGTTATGCTCTTATTACTCTTCTGGATTAAAACAACCCTATCGCATCACCAAGAGGCATCTCTTGATGTCCATTATTTCAGGTGTGTTCCTTAAAAGGAAGTTATTTCACACCCTAAACGGAGTCGTTGTCGCAAAATTCAAAGAATGGACAAGAAGTCAAGAACTAGACGAGATTTTCCTAATCGACAACGGAAGATAATTGTGCGGCGCAAGTAATAAGTTCTTGCTAACTTGGGGGCCTGCTGCATGAATCGCTTCCTGTCAAGTAATCACGGTCACAGCTGTGTTTCTTCACTGGCAAGGCAGAGGGAGATCAAGAGGTGGCTGTCACATCACATATTCACATTCAGGAGGGAGAGCCAATCGAATGTTTCCAAGAAAACAGAGTCGGTTTGGACCTTTTGAATTTCACACCACAGGTGAAAAACACCCACTCTCACTGACGCACAAATGAACACACATAACCTGTTTACTTTGGACACCATAATACAGAGAAGATGAAAAACCACATGAAATGTGTTCATTTAATATTGGGAACGACTAGCGCCCGGACGTACTGGACGCCCATCAGAAACATTTCGTTTCCCCACGCCGTTCGCGCATTGCTACATCACTTTTACAACATCAAGAGGCCCGAAAGTCGCCTGAAAGCGCCAGGCCATGTCATCGAGAGAAAGAGGGGAGGGGCGACGGATGCTCAGCCGGCGCCGGAAGAGGAAGATACACCAATGCGAGGCAACAGAAAGCGAGGAGGGAGATGCAACATACAATCTATTTTTAAAACATTCAGATGCAACACTTAAACATACGTCTAAAGGCAGATGAAATACTTGAAACATGTATACGAAACACTTCCTGCAACACCAGTCTACTTTTGAAACATCCAGATGAAACACTTGCAACATACGTAAGGAAACAATTGAAACACTTGGAACATATGTCTGAAACATTTGCAAAAACATATGCAAAATTCAGATGAAACACTTGTAAACATACATATAGAAAAATAGATGAAACATTCAGAACATATACTTGAAATATACGTGTATAACCATTGCAACATGTGCAACATCCTGATCTACTTTTACAACATCAAGATGAAACACTTGCAACAACTAGATGAAACATCTAAAACATTTAATACATACGCTTGCAACATGGGCTTTCAACGCAATGCCATCTTGTTGCTCGGACGAATGGAGGCTTGTCGTTGTGCTCACAAGCATCCCAGGCAAACAATAGAACCTAGTACACCAAACGCAAGTAAAAAGGGGCGCTACGGAGGTCGACGACGGTGCATGGGAGCTCATGTATAAGATACTTCATGCGGTAGCGACAAGGGCAACTTCGTTGTTAAACCATAAAATTCCAGAGCTCTTGACATGGGAAACATGGGATGTTTCACACACGAAGCTCACCCCTCGTCATAAGATCCAGGGCATATTTTAATTCGGTGGAGGCGGCCGTGGCTTGCCAGATCGGTGAAGGCGGCCGCGGCGAGCAGGCAGCGCAGTGGAGCGTGGCCGCGGTGAGCACGGGCGCGGCGAGCGGGTAGTGCGGTGGAGGCGGACAGGAGCGAGAGAGGATGCGGTGGAGAATTTTATTTTTTCGGCAGGGTGCGGGCGGAGAGGGAGCGAAGACGCGATGAGAGAGGAAGGAAGGAGCGAAGGGAAAGACGTGTCCGTCAAAACCAAATTCGCAAACGGACGCCCATGTGGAAATTCATTCATTTTTGGATCAATTTCCTGGCCAGCCCCTCACATGAGTATTGTTCATTTCAAGAGAAGCGAATGCCAAGCATTTCTCTCTCACATAAATGAACGAGAGAAGACAACGATCTGAACCACCAACAGCGACGCGTCCGTCCACCTGGCTGATCATTATCGTCTAATATTACAAAGAGCCAGTAACTAAATCAATCATTTCATATACAATATGTATATACTACATACTCCATCAAATCTTACACATTGGGTTCTACTAATATATTTAAAAATGGTTTCACTTCCATTCTCAATCTTCGCTTCTTCGTTTAACATATTCTTGACGCACAAGTTCACGAGTTTGTGCTGAGATCAGGACATGTTCTTTATGCACGGAAATTAGCACTGAAAATACCATCAAGTATCCATGTCAGATCCGAGAATACTTAACAAAAGAACAGCTATGACTGATTACTATGGCACTAACGAATGGTCACTACTGATGTATGCATCATCATCAGACAATAATTTCTGAAAATTAGCTACTGTATGCATCAGGCAATATAAATAGTGAAGGCATAACAGTATGTCAGCTGGTTGTGCTGTTGAAATTAGGACTGCTTTATTGATGCACAGAAATTTAAATGATTTAAGATGTGCAACGAAAATGCCTGATTTAATTATTGGAACTGCTGTATCATACACAATGCAAGTGTGCAACATTCCTACTTTGGAATTCAGAACCCTTCCTTAGTTCCTTAGTATATATGATTCTAAAGGCAGACTTTCCATCAGGTGTAAATTAGCATATGATCAGATGGAACGATACAAACTTTCAGAGACATAACTGGCGACAGCTTTAATAAATCAAGAAAGCAACTACATGGCAACGGTGCTGCAGCCTGCAAGTAACAAATCCAAGGACCCTTACCTCAGATTTGGCGCCAAGCAGTGGAGTGTGAGGCAAAACTTAGCCGAGGCCAATTTCCCAAATGTGAAACTTAGCCGTGGAGGTAAGGGAACAGGAGGAAGATGAGGGTTCGCCAAATACCGCCGCCGTTCCTGACCCCACTGCTGCTCTTCGCGGCGACTCTATAGTAGTGGTTTATTCACAGTGGAGAGATGCGATGGTTCACAATTCACACGCGAAGGGGCGTTTTAACCGATCGAACAATCGGATCCGAAGAGGCACCCGTTGCAAGCCACGCCGCCAGCCCGCATTAACCCGCAAGCCAGCCCACGCATATCCGACGCGGCGCCGCTTCGATCCGCCGCCACAGACGTTGCAGCCAAGAAGACCATCGCCTCCACCTCCACGGGCCGTTCAGCTGTCTTTGCGATTGGATCTACACATGGAATGTTCCGAAGCCATCTGTGCTGAACCTGTCGGCGCCCCTGCTGCCGGATCGACTGAGTTCAGAGATCACCTTCAGGGATGTCCAACTGCACGTTCTGTACCAATCGATGTTGTATAATAACAAAACACAGTACACGTCTAAGGACTGATTGCTTTAAAGTCGTTCCTTTCATGTACATACAACACGCTACTAGATTGGTAGAAGAAAAACCTTAACAATCGGCCTATTCGTTGGTTGGTTTCTGGGCTGATAAGCTCGGCTGGTGTTGGTTTGTTGTGAGAGGAAAACCTGGCTAACAGGCTGAATGTGTGTAACTGATACGTACTACTGTAAATCTGTAATGTCCTGATGTTGTTAAGCAGTTGCTGTTCCGGCACACATGCTGTGTGATCGTTGCTTCTTCAGAGTTCAGAGTTCAGGAAGGCAAATTGCGTGATGGCCATTAGCTGATTCTGTCTATCAGTAATTCAGTATCACAGAAAGGCATGTTGTGTGCCAACCGGGCTCCCAACTGAGAACTTAAATTTGCTATCTGCCGGTGTTCATATATTTACCGAAACGACAAGACAAAGGAGTAGCTTGTTAATTCGCTCATACTTAATTACTGATTCTTCATGTAACTATCAAGTATATCAACAATGTCAGAACATGTACCCCGATGCGCTGAATTTTATCATGACACAGTTACTAAATGATGCTGACGTTGTCGAAGGAGTTAAGAAAGAAATGTACAGCACGGCCTCTTGTTCCTTTTTGTTCATTCATTCAAGACCGGATCGGATCGCAGCGCATGTCGGCATTGTTAAAACGTTTGCAAAGTACTTGGAGGGTACAGTACAGTCTTGCAAGATAGGTAGCCATGTGCATGGCGTACTAACAGAAGCCATACATGATTACTACATGGGCATGGCGTGAGGGGAAGTGGTGGTTGGTATGCGACTATGCGTAGGAGCCAGCCTACGAGGCTTGGCGCCAGCCTACGAGGCTTGGCGCCATGGCTTTGCGATCATGCAGCCACGTGCATTCGTCGACGTGGCCCTGTGGGGTGTGGAGCCTCGATCGATGAGATCAGCACGGGGAGCCGCCGGTGCCGGAGGAGCTGGCGGAGAGGCTCCTGTCGAGGTAGAAAGCCCGCAGCCTGGAGCTCCTGCTGCTGGCGGTGCTGCCGGAGTGCGACAGCACGGGGAGCCCCCACTGCGAGGAGAAGACGATGGCGGGGCAGTCCGCGGCTGCCTCCGCCGCCGCCGCCGCCGCCGCCAGCCGCCGCAGGAGCTCCGCGACCAGCGCGGCCACCCGGCGCGCGGGAAGCAGGAGCAGCAGCCGCACCAGGCGCAGCCGCAGCCGCAGCCGCTTTCCGCCGCCGCTGGCCGCCGTAGTGGTGGCCCCCCACCTCCCCGCCGCCTTGCACGCCCTCCTCCGCAGCCGCAGCGGCCGCCGAGCCCTGACGCTCCCGCCCGGCGCCGGCGACGTGCCGCCGCCTCGCAGCCGCTGGTACCGGCACGCCGAGCGCGGCAGCAGGCCGTCCCTCGCCGTGAGCACCTCGAGATGGCCCATGTGAGGTAGCTAGCTACTAGAGTTGTGGTGGTGGCTGGCCGCCTGTCTGGGTGACGAAGAGTGAATCGCTGGTGAGCTCAGTGATTAGCTGTAGGAGGGAGGAGGATATGGAGCGTACGTGCGTTTATATAGCCGTGGAAGTGGAACGGCGGCGAGAATTATTGCGAGGCCCGGCCGGCACATGGGTCTGGGAGGGAGGAGTCGTCTCGTCCCCCGAGGCTCATAAGTTACTTATCAGCCCAAACCAACCGATGAAGAGGCCGGAAATGTGGAAGCGGGCACGGGCAGCGACCGGCGGGGCGGAGCCTACGGCCTGATTGCCTTTGACGCATGCTTATCCGCCACCAGCGTGTTATATTAGAAAATAAAATTGGTGGGTACGAATGATTGATGCGTAGTTGTGCTGCACTCTCAGATCACCCTTCATGTTTACGATGCTGAGGCCAGGTTATATTAATAACAGTTGATACGCACATACTATTCAGTATTGAGTTGAGCTCGATCATCCAGTTCTTCACTAGTTCGTTTAGTTTTGGGTGTTGATAGATGCTCCTGCGTAGTATGCATGCATGATTGTACAAAGTTTTTTTTTGGGTAGAGTAGAGCATGATGATCCTCTAACGGTACCAATTATATATCATGATCAGATCACCAGTAGAGGTCCAATGATATGTTACGCTGGGACCAATACTACATGCTGGAGTTAGTACAAAGTTTCAGTTTCGAAATTTTAAACGTGACCTGAACCCAGTGCATGCGGTCTCTCAAGGTCACGGATTACTGTGATTTGTGAGTGAGCATAAGACGGATTTAAAGAAGTTGTGGCGCGTGCATTGCACCCTCACTAATATGATCTTGGTCCAGCGTGTCTGTGTGTGTGTTCGATCAGTAGGAGTTTAATTACGATAACATGGCGTACGATAAAAGCATATTCTGCCACACCACACGATGATTGTAGCGATCATTACACGATCACTTCACAGTTTGTTTAATTTAAACGTTGATGCTCTGTTTTTTTTTTTTTTTTTTTTTTGCATTCCGTAGCGCAAAGAAACCACCGCTTTTTCTGCCAGAACGAGAGCCTGGCATCGTCACCAGACGTACCTGGAACATATATAAATAAACAAGTGCAACTGAAACAAACACTGTACCGCAGATTCTCACAAACCAGCAAGAGCTAAGCACATACCACATACATCATGATGAACTTCGTACGAAGGCAACGCATGAACTTTGTTAAGGTGAATGCATGCGTATGGTAGGTTTTCTCGTTAGGCCGCCATGTGCCATCATTAGCGAGAGGCATAAGAAAAAGGTCACTAGAGGCCAATGCAAATCATGGCCAATGATTGGGAAACGGCCGGCCTGGATGATTTGTTATGGCTTTAGTAATGGTACGATGCTGCTTTGACAGCTCAAGTGTTTAGCCTAACACGCCGTCATGCCCTTTGGTAGGACGCAACTTGCGACGTAGATATATACAAACCAAACCGACTTCAAGAGAAGAATGCAATGGAGCTGCAGACCAGCTGCTGGGTCAGTGACCATTGCAGAGCCTCTCTGTAAAGGGTGTCAAAGAACAGACGCGCATGCCGTACAATTTACAACTACAACTAGCAGTGCAACATGTGGCAGATGTAAGTACAAATTAGGCATGTGACTGCACAGGAACCATCCAAGTAGAACAAGAAGTTAGCAACCACAGGTTGGAATGCAAGTGCCGAAACATTCTCTTCATGCTAGGTTAAGAAACACTAGCAATCAAGCACGAGCCTCAAAAGGTTATAGAGGGCATTCAGCAGTAGGTTATCACAAGGCGTGCCATCATGTGCAAACAATCTAGAGCACTTGCATAGATAAATTGCATCGTTACCATAGATTTTATAACAGGCTACACAAGGTTCAAATCCATCATGGCCTTATGGGGGGACTATCTGTCTGGAACACTTGCATAAACCATATTGTAAAAACTAAGTTCAGACAAACATTCAGGCAGCACGGCGCAGAAAGCACAATGTACTTCGCAGCTCCTAAACCCTTAGCATAGAATCTCCATCTCTAAATGCACTGCAAGTCATACCGAATTAAAAGGATTAGTTAGCACACCAGCTCAAATGCAACATGGACAGATTCTGCAACTGACATTTTTTTTTCAGAGAGCTTGTCATACTTTATTACAATATAAACAGCTGCTGAATTCAAATTTTACTGGTTTTGCTATGATTTTTGCATTTTCATACATGGAAAATAGTAACAGTATTCAATTTGGCTTCCATTGTGACCATTCCCAATGACATCTGATTGCCATTAAACTTGCAAAAAAAAACGTTAAATTACAGACAAGCATGAATTCGTGTCACATATCAACCTTTGACTCTTAACAAATTTCAGAACAGATTATTGATATCTTTCGCATATGATAGGCTGATAGCCTTCAATTCATCTAAAGCAATTATAGTTTTGGACTTTTTCTTAAACAAAAGCAGAAGGTATCTTCTGGAAAATTCAATTTTATTAGATATAAAAACATATATAAAATGTACCACAGCCCCAAACTGGTCATCAAACATGTAAAAGCACAAGAATTGTCTAATGAGACGACTTTAGAGTGTACCCTAAATGAGTGTAATCTTCATCGTTTCAGGCCAAAGTCAAGGTAGGAGTAATTCTTACCTTGTAGAATGTAGAGCATGAAAGATCAGAGATTTTCCAAGGCAAAATCACGCCATACATCCCCTTGTGCTGGTTGGCTTTCCTGATCTGTTAGGTATATTTAGAGCGTCATATAAAAAATTCCAGTATCTCAGCCAATGGTCATGAAATAGTACAACATTTACTTGAATGTTGCCTTAATAGTGCAAAACATTTTAAAATATAAGTCTCAGGGATGTACTGCCAGCAGTTTACCAGTGCCAAACAATTTATACTTTTTAAGCATGAATTCTCTAACCCCAAATCTGAAGTATGTACACTGCAGAGTTTTTTTTTTTTACGAGGAGAGTAAAATAGATTTGAATTTGCAGAGTAATAGCTCCCCCGCCCCACCCCAGCTTATTTGCTAGAAGTACTAGTACGACAAAACACTTTGTCCGCTCCACCCCATTAACAAAACTTGAGCTCAATTTACTCCACACACTATTCACTATTTCAATTGGTCCAATGTACCTCCTCATGAGACTTGTCCTTTTGTTTCTCCGCATACAAGTTGAGTCTCACGTTCAAAATTCATGGGGTGATACATGAAAAAAATGTTCATCGGTGTTTTCATGAAATTTGATATCCCTAATGTTAATTTAGTATTAAGATGCTCTTAACCTATGAAAAATAATAGTTAAAATTTCTAATGTATTTTTCAGTATATGCTATGATGTCACACCACAAAATTTGAACTTTAAACTCAAATTGTATGCAGAGAAACAAGAAAATACATCTCATTAGGGGGTGAAATAGTTTAGATAAGTAAATTGATCTGGAAGTTTCTTAAGGGGTAAGGTAGACAAACTTGATTGTTGGGGGCTGTAAAAATGGACTTATCTTATTGAAACAAGTCATGTGAATCAGCATGCTAATGGAAGTCATAAATGCCAGCAAGTGATAAGTCTTGAACCAAGCACTTGACTAGATTAGTAGTTTGCTAGATGCATATAAGCTATAAGCACTAGCTATTCATTTAATATATGGTTTCATTTTAATTCAGGAAATACTCCTAAATAGGAAGGACATACAAGATATAGCACAGTGCACAAACTGCAGCCAATTTAGTAAATGGGAACTGTAAATAGCATTGCTCACCAAGCACATCCTACAAAATCAGTTCAAGCCATACATTAAGGCACTAATTTATCATGCTCAACTGTTACTTGATTTTCATTTTCATATGACTACATGAATAGTTAGATATTCTTCAATATCTTTATAGGTGGATGTTCTCCAACATTCAGGCAAAATAGATCTAAAAGGAACTATGTTGGAATTGTCGATTTCCATGTGATATAGTTCCTATTGGCAGTTTAATCAGAGGGGAATCTAATTGTCTATCTCGACGGGGAATGCTGATAGTTCCTTGCATTTTGTTCACTAGGCACTAATTTCTTAATCTAATTTGCAGTTTAGCCAACAGAAGGTTTAACCACGCATTACGCATAATCCCATTTAACCTAAGCCCAACCATCATCTCTACACGCATCCGGAGGTTTCTTCTCGGTTATCATCAAACGCAGATCAGAACCGGAACGCATTGCCACTCTTCGACTAGGCAAGAGAGGAAGGGATGGGTAAAGGGGGCAGGCGCAGCGAGCGTACAGGCGGGCGCTGGATCCTCGGCGTCCTCAGTCTTGACTGCCATGGCCGGCGGCACGGGGATGTCTGTCAAACCAGACAGGGTGAGGCGACAGATCCGTTGGGGAGTAAGCGATTAGGGCTTAGGCCACCGGCGCAAGGAAGGGGAAGGGAGGGGACGCACCGTCGGCGGGGAGGGTGTCGCGCATCCACTGCTCGTCGACGACGTCGATGAGGACGCCTAGGCTCAGGCCCAGCTCCTGCTCCAGCCCGCTCATCTCCTCCTGAACCTCCTCTTCCCCGGGCACGCTCTGCTCCTGAAGTCTCGAGTCGAATCGAGCTCTCGCCGAGTCCTCGGCAAACGGCAAGGCGGCTCGAAGTGCTCTCGATCGCTCTTTCCGTTCTTCGGTGTCGAGTCGAGGAGTAAATAAATGGGCTACCTTTGTTCCAGCCCATGGTATGTTTGGGCTATATATTTTGGGTCTTCTGGGCCGGTATCATCCTGTGTACATTACAACCACGGCGTGTCTGATGGACTATCTTGCTTCTTTGTACAATCTCTCTTTCTCTCAGAAAAAAAATGTACCTCTCTCTTTTCTCCAAAAAAAAAAATGAATCGTTTGAAAAATTAGTTCACCATCGATTTTTCAGATTCATTTGAAAATCAGGGAAGACGAATGGAAAGCCTTTAAAGGATTGCCCCAGAATATTTTTGAATCGTT